ATCAAAATTTAGTCATCATGAAAGCAATTAACAATTTTATAATGTCCCATTTGTTACCTTAAGTGATATATAGAATTATCCCTATATAAAAATAGTAATATGAAGCTTGTTTACATCAGATCCCAAGAATTATAGTACCATCAGAAGTATTCTAAAAAAGGAACAAGGTGAGAAAATTGCACCTTATATTTCAAAATAAATGATACTCGGGCATTGGAAGCTTATCTAAGAAAAGAAAGGATTACTTATGAAATTTATCAAGAAGAATGAAAAATAATAAACATTAAAGAAGGAAAGCAGAGTGATCATTTAGTAAATCATGAAGTAATTCCTAATTATTATTTTAATTGACAACTTTACATAGGAAAAAGGCACTATGCTTTAATACTGTAAAACATATTTTTTTTATTTTATGTTATGAAAGCAAAGGTTTAAAGAATATTGAGAACAAAGAAGTTTGCTTTTAGTGATGTAGAAATGAGTGAAGTTTTTTTATAAGGAAAACATCAGTTAAATTCAATAAGTTATCTTTTTAAGATCCTACATTCTACATAGTCCTCAACCAATTTTTTATCAATATTTTAAATTTGAGCAACTTCTTGAGTAATTCTTAAATTAGGATTTTTAAAGGGTGTGCCTGCTGTTGGGCATAACCACTCACTATAAACTTGATGGGGAGGTGTTGTGTAGGAATCTTCTAAATAACTTATGGCATTTTCCTGTAGATTCAAATTTTGTGTCAGTTGACATATTTTTAAAATAGATAACAAAATTTTAAAGGTACAATTATAGGAACAACCTTTGTACTCATAAGTAATTGGTGTATTCTCATTACATCCTCAAGATTTTGCACTGACTTTGGTATTTGACATTTGGATATTTCCATCATTAGATATATACCAGGCATATAAAGTTCCATAATAAATACACATAAATTAAAACCATTAATAAGAATGATGATTTTTTTGTTTCATCTGGTTTTAAACTCTTATTTTTTCTTATATCACTGTCAATAGCATCTTTTGCATGGATCCCTTCCCTGTAAATATCCCAATATGGTTTGATTTTGCAATTTTGTTTGCAAGGGCCTGTTATTTCTGTAAAAATACTAGTTTTTGTTCCATCTTGGTTATGTAACATAAAATCAGGTATTCTACCATTGTGCCCACCTCGTCTTTCCTTCGAGGGTTTTGATTGAACTGAGATCCTGCAAAATAAATAAATATAAGCCATAAATTCTCATTTTTATTATTGTAGCAATTAACTAAGAATGTATATATTAAATACCATGAGAATGAAGTTATATAATTAAAAAAATTTATTGTACTATTGAATATTGGTCCAATTTGATTAATGATGTACATTGGTTCAGGGCTTTTCTCTAAGTTTGAAGTACTATCCCAAGGAACATATTCATCTAATAGTTTAAAGAAGGTTCGGTTGATCAAGTTGGATTGACATTTACCATGTTCTTTAATTATAATCTGTTGTATTTCATCTATACTATCCATCTTAAATTTCTAACAAAATTTACAAAACATTCATGAGTATAACTTCAATCAAATATAAAATGTAATATAAAATTTAACAAACCCTCTTATTATCTGCAACAAATTGTTTAATTTCCTCTGTGATTCCAATAAATTCAAATTTAGACATCATATGAGATTTCAATTCACTAAATTCATGATCTGACAAGAGATCTTGATTTTTGTTTTGACCCTCAAAATAAAAAACAGATGAAACATTCAGCAAACTTTGTATATTTTCTTTTGTAGGATAATTTACTCCATGAATTAATTTCTCTATATTTCTTAGTTGCCATTGTTGCAACTTGACATGTAATCTGTCATCAGAATTATCAATGCTTTCCTTAACAACTTTTTCTATCATCTTTAAATCCGAATCTTTAAATACTAGTATGTATTCATCATCAATTTCTTCCTAAATAATAATAATAAAAAGGTTATTTGTGTACTTAAATTATTTTGCTTTTTGTAAGAGAATATAACATGTTTACATTTAATGAAAGTTATGATCTTGTCTCATTAATAGTTTCTTGTGATGATGATATCTCTGTTGTTGTTTGCAATCCTGTTATTTCCTGATGACCAGTAATTGAGGTAACATTTGCTTTTTTCGTTTTATTTTGACTAAAAATACAAATACAAGTCTGTCATTTTAAAAAACTAGAGTGACAATGAGTGGTGGGCGATAACCACCACCACCATCCTTAAAACACTTACCTTTTTTCTTCACCAAGTGCAATTTTTTTGCTTTGTTTGCTTGTGTTTTTTGCAAACATTTTTTAATTAAATTTTTGAGTCAAACATGTACATACATTAATTATTTATTATTGGCACTTGATGTTGCACAGGATTTTTTTTGTTGATTGATTTTTTTTTTCTTGGAAAAACAATTTATTTTTTGACAGAGTCCAAGGTGACAAAACGTGAGTGTTGTTGTTT